ATCAGTCACATGGAGGCAGGGCTTAAAAGCCTGAATTTTGTCTGAAACTCTCAGACTGAAGAAGTCTCTTGGAGGAGAGACGAAACGTTTCATTAGAGAAGAACCTGTCCAGAAGATCTGTACAATTTTTTTCTTTTTGATTTTTTACCTGGATTACTGAGATGCATCAGGACATTATTATTAGTAAATATACTTGTGTTGGATACAGTAACTTTATTGGTGTTGTATACAGTATCAGTGTTGGTGTTGTATACAGTAACTGGATACAGTAACTTTTTTGTCATGTCTTCTTGAATGGGTGTTCTTAAAATTAATTTCATTGTGCTCTGTAAAGTTATGCACAATGATTTTTCATAGCAAAAACTCAAATTATCTATCTATTTACTGATCGTTTTAAATCTCATTGATAGTTTGGCTCCACTCAGGGCAAAGTCGGTGAATGAATGCTTCTGGTTATTTCCAGTGAAAAACATTCTCTTATTGGTTTCTGTTTTATGCTTCTGATCAGTTGTGCTTTCACACTTTCTCTGAATTAGTTTGTGTGTGTGTGTTTGTGTTTGTGTGTAAACGTATAAAGCATTACATTAGATGGGGAAAAAACATACAGCGAGGTTTGACAGGAACAAAATTGAATGCCTCTAAAAACATAACTCAAATGAGCGTGCGCGCCTGTTTGTGGGGAGGGTTTGTGCGTCCTTCAGAAGGTATTCAGGTGTATTCGTGTCACCATGTTGTTGTGTTAAAATGTGTGTGTCTCTCAGAATAATACGGAGCTGTTTGACTGGGCTGAATTTGTGCTTTACTGCCTACAGCTAAGAAGTCGGAGATTTCATTTTTCCTTCCCCCAGTTTCACGCTCATTTTGTCACACATACAGGATTGTATTTGAAAACAGCAGACCCTTCTCGTGGCACAGGGATGATTGTATGCACATTCTCCTTTTTTGGAGGGGTTCTTCTTGGATTCGTTTTGGATCTCTCAAAGCATATGTTGGACGTGAAGGAAGAATCAAATAATCAAATTTTTTATCTGCATTTTCTTTTCCTTTTATTCTTTTGTATTGATGCTTCATCAGACGTTCTAATAAGACATTTATGCTCAAAGGATTGTTGTTTTAAATATATTTTCTTTACTTTTGTCCAGAGATTCTTAACCTATGGGCCGCGAGCGCCACCTTGAGGGCCTCAAAAGAACAACAGTTTTTAACTTTGGGCCACAGAGGGCCGCGGGACCACATTGATTTTGAATAGGGTGCAATACACTTTCTCACCACTTGTAGCAGTAGTGCACCACTCAGATGTTTAACAACTTTTTTTAATGCGTAGAAAAAGAAACTTAGATACCTGCTGAGAATGGAAACGTATTTTAAATTAAAAGTAGAAGCAAAAATGAAGGTAACCTATCAAAAAATGCCAACGTTTGTCACTAATATGAAGTACAGCTTCTGTTTTTACCACGCAATACTGTATTTTAAAAGTTCAAAACATTATCAAATACAGTTGCAGAAACAACTATATTTTAATT